GGAAAACCAGTTGGCTCGCCAGGCGGCACGTTTATAGGGAGTGAAGGAAAATTGGGTGGAAAATGGGTGAATATCTATCTAAAGGGTGGCAAGAGGAAAGCCCCAGGAAGGAAGCACATAAGCGCATTGCCCAAGACAAGAAGGAGATTGAGGAAAAAGGAAGGAGATTGCAGTGCTCGGCACTAAAAAGATGACATAAAGATAGAGACGGGCGGGTGTTGAAATTGAATAGGGGTAACGAAGCGTCAGGTTTGGGTGTTTTGGTGGGAAGGGTCTTTGCAGAAAGGAAGGAAAAATCAAGGAAAGGGGTGGCAAAGTAAGGACACCAAAAAAAGAGAGGGGGAAGACGGAAGGCCAAGGAAAAACTCGCACTGCAGGCATGCAAACGATGCGCTGTCGCCTGATAAAGTATACGACCGATTGCCCGTTTCTGCTCGACGGGGCCAAAAGGAGAAAAATCGCAGACGCTCAACCAGACGGTGGATGCAAATGGAAAATGGAAAATCATCAGTACAGAGGGGGGGAGGGGTGGGTTTTTGTCGAAGGAAAAGACGGGTGGATACGGGGGCATGGTATACTCTATGATAGAAGAGAAGCTGTTGGAGGAGAAGGAGGAGACCCAAGACACGTTGATAAATTTATTGAAATTCTATTGAAACGAAACGATTTGACTGCGCCAACGACCAAGGACCAAGGACCAAAAGGCAGTGGGAAAGAGAAAGAAAGCAAGGAATAGAGGAAGGGAGATGGGAAGAGCCACACAAATCGCTGATAAAGTGGAAAATGAGTGCAAAACAAAAAGTAAAGTGCAGAGGAAAATTGTCTTCATGTGGAAGGAGAAAAAGAGAGGTTCTACTGTAGTAAATTGCAAATAAATTGCATGATACTATGCACTGTTAGAAAATGTTGATGAAATGTTAAGCAAAAATTATGTTTAAAAGGGGGAAGTTGAGGTTTAATGTAAGGAAATTTATTAGATTTTCATTTTTGTTTTATTAATAATAGTTTCTAGGGCTTGCATCTCCTTGTAGGACTTCAATTTTTAAACTAAAATCAAACTAAATTTTAGTTACAGCTTAAGTTTTCGATAATCAATACAAAAATCTAAAATTTTTAGTCAATGCTTACATATTTTTTATATAATTTAAACTTAAATTTCATTCCTTGTTTGAGATTTGCATTTTTCTGTCTGTATTCCGAAAAGGGGAGAGAGGGGGCCCACCGCCTGGACAATTAAACTTTTGCCATTGCATAAATTTTATCTTGTTTTGGCAGTACGATGGTGGCGGCTTTTTACGACTCTAGGTATTTTGCCTATTTCATCGTGGATTTGGCCACAACAACACAAAATCTTGGCAAACTTTGCACTTAATTTTTAATTTTCTTCCATTTGGCCTTTGACCGGCCCCGCGCTGGACAAGCGATGCTCAATTTAACCTGGCCAAGGCAAAGCGAGCAACAAGCAGATGAAAATGCTTCACTGAGTTCCGCAGTAAAAAAAAAAATAAGTAAGAAGAAAAGAAGAAAAAAAAATATAACAGAAAGGAAAAGTCGGAAAATCTCGGCTCAAAGAAGAAACAGCCGCATTTCTGTAGCATACTTAAGGGGGGGAGGGGCAGTAGGAGGTTGTCCGTGGAAAATGATGGAGGAGAGACAGATATAAAAAAAAAGAACAGAATAAGAACCAAGGGGGGTTAGGGGGTGTTGGTGTGTTGGTGCCGTAGAAAAGGCCAAATTTAATTTGTGCTCAGTGGCTGTGGCAACTCTGGGCCCAGTTGTTGTTGTTGTTGTTGTTGTTGTTGTTGTTGTTGTTTCTGCTGGGCCATGAAGAAATTGCTACCCAATTACGTAATAAAATCTGACTGAAGTTTCTACTCTTATTATTTAATTTTTTCTTTATCTTTTACCATCTCCTTACCCCCCCATCCCTCAATGTGAAGCAAATTGTTCGAAGGGGATTTAGTAAGGAAAATACCAGAAAAAAAATGAGAAGGGAGGTGGAAAATTCGCAGGGGGAGCCTGCCGGAAAATCCCGCTTGGCGCTTATTAAGAAATAATGCTGTAAAAACAAAACGCAGCGGCGTCAAATTCAACTTTTGTTTTGTTTTCTCATTTCGCCAGCAGCGAGACATTAAATGGGCTAAAATCCAAGGAAAATAAGTAAACAGGAAATAAGAAAAGGCAATTGCTAGGCATTTGGCATAAAGAGATAGGATCCATACATCACACAATTTAAGAGCTCTAAAAAGAAAATAAACAATGACTAATGACATTTGTTAATTAAATCCTGTGTCTTAGTTTGTTTGTCTTAGAAAATGCATTTTGGGGGGGGCCTTTAAACTAATTAGGAAAGAGGATTCCTCTTAAATTTTATTTCAGTTTATCTCTAAAATAGAAATAAATATATTATTATCTAAATCGACATTTGATTTATCTTGAAATGAAAACAATTCTCAAATATTTATCACCGAAACTTGAGCTCTCTTCGAGAACTTCATTTCGATTGTTTAACAAACAGCAATAAACGAGTTTTGTCGTTTTTGGCCAGCAGGGAAACAGAAACAGAGTAGAGGAAATCAGTAGAGGAAAATCAAAGCCAAAATCAAAAGGCATCCAAGGAAATGCGGGAAAAGCTGTGCAAAAGCGGAAAATGCTGGCAAACGACCAGGCAAGGACCAGGCAGGACCCTGGGTAATAATAAGTGCCCTGTGGTGCAGCTTACTAAAATGCAGAGCGAGTGAGAGAGGATTTCTCTGATTTCACACAAAAATATATATATGTATATTATGTGTGTACATCAGTGATGTACATCAGTTTGTAATTTAAGTACACTTTTGTATGCGAGTATATATGCAAAAGCCGCTTTCCAAAGTCCCAGGTGTATGTTCGTTGACGCCCCGGGAGGAAAATGTGGTAGAAAATCGAGAAAAGCGTAAACTGTTTTTTTTTGTTCTATTTTTTGTGGGCAATTTATAAATCGGCGAATTAAATTATTCGTGTTCAGTACATTAGAAAAACAAAAACAGAAAATGTAGCTGGAGGACGAGCAGCGTTAAATGAAGCGTAAAACGAGCCTAAAAACTGATAACGTTAGAAGGTATATATTATATAAGTTAATGGAGACGGGAGACAATGTTACCCCTTGTCGAAAATGCGAAGTTCGGTTTCTTCCTTGGTCCTCTTTTGAGTCATAATATAACTAACCATAACTAAGCCTATAATGGTCCTAATATGGATTGGCATATCTCGTTGGATTCGTTATCAAATTTCTAACAAAACTGCATTCACAGCTAAAATTGTTAATTTTTATCAAATTTTCTCAAAAAAGACGAAAATGCGAAATTTGGTTTATCCCGTTTTGCCCCTCAAAGTGACAGAATTATGACCATAACTCAGCCAATAGTGGCCAACGAATGGAGTGGCATACCTCGTTGGATTCGTTAATAAACAAAACTGCATTCACAGCTAAAAATCTTAAATTTTGTCAATTTTTCACAAAAATTATGATAGTTAACCTTTATTAAATATGCGAAATTCGGTTTATCGCGATTTTCATCTCAGAATGATATTATGATGCTCATAGCTAAGCCAATAATGGTCCAATTATGGAATGTAATACCTCGTTGAAATTGTAATGAAAATGCCAAGAAAACTGTATTCAAGGTTAAAATTTTTAAATTTTTGCTTTTTTTCTTAAAATTTGATGATGTTACCCCTTACGAAAAAAGTTAAAATTTGAAAAAAATTGAGCTTTCCAGAAGTAAACCAACATTAGTATGGATCGAAAGCTGAGATCGTCAGCTTTTAAAATCAGTCAACTTTATAACTATAGGATAATTATTAGTCAAGTTATGATATAAAAACCCTCAGAAAAAATCTCATTTTTGGACAAATTCATAATCGCATTTTGTTATCTAAAAATCATCAGTATTTTTTCCATAACAATGGCATTTATGATCCAAATATAGAATGTCAGACATCGTTGACTTCGTAATCAAAATTCTAACATGACTGCATTCACAGTTAAGGAAGTCATTTTTGGCCATTTTTCAGAGAAAATGATGATATTACCCCTTCAAAAATAACAAGGATCGTTAGTTTTGGTCTTGAGCTGTAGAAAGCAGTCATCTTTAAGCTTTGCTTTTGGTTTTGTCTAATGTATAACTTAAAATCCTAAACAAAACATTCATTAGATTCCTGACTATAAATCTGCCAAAACGTTTTCCTATTATACCGAAAATGTCTGAATTAGGTGAAGTACAGAAAATCTAAATTCAAAGCGATATACGCAACGCTTTCTCTGCAATTGCCAATCAATGTGCAATCTTCTCAGTTTCTTGAAATGTATCTGTTTGTGCTTGTATCTGTATCTAAATGTGTGTTAGTGTTTGTATTGAGTGTGTTTGTGTGTGTGTGTGTGTGCCAAAGGCAATAATCATAAAAAACCGTCAAACGCTTTGTTTTTGTTCTTCAGAATTGAGGCAATAATGCTGAAAGGAGAAACGAAATTCGAGGAGGAAAACTCGGTCTTGGCTTGCGATTATTTTGCCATTACTTTCCATTATTTTACTTTATTTCAATGACTGTTTACATTAGGCAAACACACACACACACATATATATATACACACTTACACGCACACTTGAGAAAAACAGAGTAAAAGAGCGAAAGAGAAATCAGCAGATAAGTGCTGCATACTTTCGAGCGCGTGAGCTGCTTATTTTGGTCTTTTGCCTTCCACTTCCTGCCAGTGTTTGCCCTATATGGTGTGCATATGTATGGGTAAGCGTGTATCTGTGTGAGCCACTTTACTTTTGCTTATTGAGCATTGGGCAAAAGGAAAAAAGAAAAGCAATACTTGATACTTTGATTTCACCATACAATCTTTTTCTCTCAAGATTTTCGTCTTCTTCCCTTCCCTTACAAATACAATTTTTATCTCAATATTTGTTGATAACCATTTAAAATAAGCTTTTCTTTTGTTTGCCTTTCATTTGCAGGCGGAGATCTGGAGCGTCTTCATTGCCATCCTGCGCAAAAGCGTCCGCAATCTGCAGGCCTGCACTGATGTTGGCCTCATCGAGCATGTCCTAGTACGCCTGCAGCGCTCCGAAACGGTTGTGGCAGGTAATAACAAAAAAATCCCCTTAAAAAATATATATAACTTACTAACAATATTTATAAGAAACACTAATTAAAAATATTTCTTTAAGCTTTTATGATTTGGGCATTCGAAAGATGCCTGTATTTAATGAAAATCCATTTAAATATTTTCAAAATTCTGTAGGTTACGTCTCTCTTTTCCATAGAACAATGGATTTTACAGTTTTGGCCATTGTTTGACTGGTCTGAATAGATCCCAAGTTGGCTCTGGTTTGCTTTTGGTCTGGTCCGCTGAATTGCCTCTCGATTAATTTCACGCTTGTCAGCAGCACTGACACGCCCAGTTGCGGCCCCTTCCCCCATACTCTGCTATGTCATCTCATCTCGTCCCATTCCAAACCACCATGCCAACCCAGTAAGCACCCAAAAACCATCCAGTGAAAAGCCAGAGAATATGGATGGGAGGGGATGTGGGTGTGGTAGTGTGGGAGTGGGAGTGGGTGGGGATTGGTACAGCACAGCTCGGCACAGCAAATTTGCTCTTCATTAGCGACCCTCGCTGGCTACGCCTCCTGCACCACCCATTGCCCCACCCAACCACACACACCACATACACACACACACACTCTCACACACACATGATGCCTTAAGCATGTGCGTGCCTTTGGCTTTGATTTTGATTTTATTAAGTCAATGACACATCTGCGGTCTCCACGAAATCCCAGCACCCCATCAACCCCTCCAGGCATCACCCCAGTCATATCTCTTTTTGCCACCCCCCACTGCTGCTGCTGCTGCTGCTTCTGCTGCTCTTCTTCTTCTTCATTCCGCATTTAACGAACTGTAACTGCTGTCAATTTGCAGTCGCTGACTTTTGAGCTCCATGTGTCTGTGTGTGTGTGTGAGTGTGTGTAAGGCCCTGGGTAAGGAGAAAGCAGAAAGGGGGGAAAGAAAGGCCACAAACAAAGACATAATTTCATACATACACTGAGAAGAAAATAATTTGATTTAAATTAGCTACATTTTTTCTATGATTAACAAAGAATTAAAAATATTTTTCTTAAAAATTTTCTTAAAATTTAAAAATAAAAAAAAATAATCTAAAATTAGTCTTTAAAAGTTTCATTAGCAATGCTTCTCTTTAAAGATATATAGATAATGTTATTAGCTTTTTTTCCTATGTACTAGGCATGTCTGTCTATCCCTCTCCTTTTTCACTACATATAAGAGTGTGTGTGTGTGTGTGTGTGTCTGTGTGTGTCACCTGACAAATGCCAAAACGTGACACTTGCCAAGAAATTAGATAAGTTAAAAGTTCGTTGTCTCGGGCAAAAGTTCAGCTTAGAGTAGCAACTTCTTAGATTTCACATACATATACGAATACGAACGTATACGTAATACGTATGAGTGGGAGTATCTGTGGCTCTGTAACTGTAACTGTTTGAGTTTTCAGAAGATCCATTGCCTACTTTTCTGGGCATCAAACTTTAAGTGCTTCAAAAACTCGACAATGCAATCGCAAAAATTTGATAAAAGAAATTGTTGCGTTAAACGCTCTCACTTCTTTCTCCCTTCTCTATCGTTTTATATAGGAATATATATATATATATATATATATATATTCTTCTTGCCGCTGATTTTTTCTTCTACTGCTGCTGATGATGATGATGATGAGTTGGGGCAGTAAAAACTTTGGCATGCCAAGGAAAATGTAATTAAATGCTGATGAAGCTGTGGCATTAAGAGGTGGAGGAGAGAAAGCATGAGGAAAAGTATGGGAAAAGGCAAGGAAAAGCCAAGGGGTGGGGAGGGGGCCTGAATACCAACTGGGGACCAACTGGGCGACATTGTCGTCTTGGGAATGCCTCAGGGGAATGGGCAGTGGGTTGGATAACTTTGGTGTGGGTCAACCAGTGGCCCAAAGGTTCAACCTGCTTGCCAGAGTTACTCAATTCCTTAATTCACACAAGCCAAAAACGTGTTGAATACTGTGAGTGTGAGTGTGTGTAGGTGTGTGCACTGGAAAATCATTTTCATATATATTTTAAAGTTTAAAATTGTATTTTTTTTTATAATTTTTAGAAATTTTTTAACATTTTTAACATTCAAAAAGGAAAAATAAGTTCTCAGTTCATTAAAAACTAAACTTAAGTCAAGTTAAGTTAATTGAAATATTTTCGTTGCAGAGCAGTATGCGTGTTTGGTGGGCGGTAAATATGGTGAAAATATGGTTAGTGAGAACGAGCGAGAGGGAAGAACCAGAAGGTGAGCCAACAGTCCAAGCATTAAAACGGCCCGGGCGTCCCATTTCAATTAGTGTGCATTACAAATGAAGTTTGGGAATAGCGCAGCAGTCGCTGGAAAACCAGACGACGACATCACCGACAGCCCCTCGGGATAAGGGGGGTGTGGCATGTGGGCGAGGAAGAAGTAGGCAAGACAGCAGCAAGTATGAAAGACAGAGAGAGAGAGAGAGGTTGAGAGAAGGAGAAGTAGAGAGCCAGCGGAGGCAATCAGTTTGAACTCCAGAATTAATAACTATTTGGCCAAGCTTTTGGCTAAACTTGATTGAAAATTCAGACCCAAGAAGAAGAGGGGAGAAGGCGAAAATGGAGCAAGACAGGGCATAACTTCTCGAAACAGAGTGAGACAGAGAGAGAGAGTGTATAAGGGAGTAAGGGAGGGCATCATCATCATCATCAGCATCCTCGTTACACATTGAAGACATAGATGAATGATGAAAATAGTTTTTGGCTGTAAAACTTTTACACCCCAAGGGAGATTTGCCATTAAAATTTCATAATTTATATTGCAAGTCAATTGAAACTTGAAAGTTATTTTGAAGGCTTGCAAGTTAATGTCCTGCAGCTGCAGGACTTTCTCTCTTCAATTATATTTCGTAGTTATGATTCAGTTTTATTCTTGCTTAATTTTGTATAATTTTTTCTAATTTAACACTTGATTTTAATGATTTTGTTTGCGGTCTCCTGACCTGACCTTCTTTTAAATTGAAATTCCATTCGCGCCTGGCAATGGCAATGCTGCTAGATCAAATGCAATAAGTCTGATGGCCTTGCCAAGACCACGCCTCTGGCTCCTGCCCACCCCTCTCTCTCTCTATCTTTCAGCATTCGCTGTGAGAGCGCGTGTCCTTGCCACTTGGGTGAACGCGAGGACTTTGCATTTGGTTTCGCATTTGCATTTGCATTTGCAACTTGCAACTTGCCACCTGAGCTAAAACGGGAACTTGATTGTTGCCACAAACACCCCAGATACACACAGTCTCTGACTAACACACATACAGATGCATTTTGGAAGGCTGTCAGCAGCATTTGCGACGTATATCCTTTAGGCCTTCAACCCATTTCCGGCCTTAACCAATTTAATGGCTTGGACACAGAGCTTAGGATAAGCATTGAAGCATTTTAGTGAAAGCTGTCATAAGCTTATTTGGCACTACTTTTGATTGGTAAACTTAAAAAGACAACCAAGAAAATAAAATATATAAAATCAAGCTGATTTCTCTGATATTTTTCACTAACTAATCATATTTCTTAAACAATTTATTTATGTTATTTTAAACCCTCTGCTAGAGAAGTCTCATTAATGTCCATCATTTTGATGGTCAATTTCGAACAGCAAGTGGAGAGTAATTTAAGTCTTTTAAGTTTCGTAAACTTCTGACATGGATTGCATAAACGTGTATCTGCCGCTGACATTAACCTATATAACCCCCCCGCTACTCCATTTCAGATCTGCTCATCGAGATGCTGGGCGTGTTGGCCAGCTATAGCATAACGGTAAAGGAGCTGAAGCTGCTCTTTGGTACGATGAAGGCCACCAATGGCAAGTGGCCGCGCCACTCGGCCAAGTTGCTGAACGTCCTCCGGCAGATGCCACATCGCAACGGACCGGACGTGTTCTTCAGCTTTCCGGGCCGCAAGGGATCGGTGAGTGCTAATAGATAGATGCCCAAAACTAATGGCCAATGCCATTTGATGGCTGAATGTCAAGTGAGTGGTAGTGTTGGGGTAGCCCATTAAATAACTCTATGGGAAGCTTACTCTGAAATGTAGAGAAACGGGAATGAAGAAGGGAATTTAGATTTAAGGTTTAACTACTCTTAGTTAGTTCTACCTGGACGTCTTCTATTGTCAAAAAAAAATTACAAAAAATTCGAAATTTGGTTTATCTCGATTTCCCCCTCAAAGAGACAGAATGATGACCATAACTCAGCCAACAGTGGCCCGAATCTGCAGTGGTTACCTTCGTTGGAATCGTTATTAAATTTCTAACAAAACTGCATTCACAGCTAAAAATCTTAAATGTCAATTTTTCAGAAATTATGATGGTTAACCCTTATAAACATGAGAAATTCGGTTTATCCCGATTTTCATCTCAGAATGATTTTACTATGCTCAAAGCTAAGCCAATAATGGTCCAATTATGGAATGTAATACCCCGTTGAAATTGTAATGAAAATGCCAAGAAAACTGTATTCAAGGTTCAAATTGTAAAATTTTTGCCTGATTTTGAAAAATTTGATGATGTTACCCCTTACGAAAAAAGTTAAAATTTGAAAAAAAATGAGCTTTGCAGCAGTAAACAGACATTAGTATGGATCGAAAGCTGAGATCGTCAGCTTTTAAAATCAGTCAGTTTTATAAATATAGGATAATTATTAGCCAAGTTATGATATAAAAACCCTTAGAAAAAATCTAATTTTTGGAAAAATTCATAATCGCATTTTGTTATCTCAAAAATAATCAGTATTTTTTCCATAACAATGCAAAGGATCTCCCTACTATATAATGTCATACATCCCTGAACTTGTAATTAAAAATCAACTCAAACTGAATTAAAACTAGAAAAATCACAATTCTAAGCATATTTTGCAAAAATTTATGATGTTAGGGATTCATTTTATTTTGAACATATTTAGTTTTAACTTATCAGCAAATGAAATTCCCTTAAAACCTGCTGACTTGTACCGTTGGGAGTTGAGAGTTGGGAGGTTCTCTTAGCCCAGCCGTTATTTGCAATTTTAGGCCATGCAATTCGCCAGGCTTTTCCTTTTGTTTTATTGAATGCAACGGGCGGGTACAAAGGCTCCATCCATCCTACCCGTCACATTCGATATGGGGTGAGGTCCCCCGGGGTGGTTCAACATTGCACCCCCGTCGACATTTCCGGGGGCTTTTATTTTATTGCGTCGCACTTAAAACGAATTCGAAATGTGTTTTTTCCCAGGCCAGCAGGCCAGCTTGTGTCGTACGAGTGGGTGTTTGTTATCTATGAGTTTGACCACTTCCATTTCATTTTTTTTTTGTTTATTTTTGTTGATAGGAGAGAGAGAGAGAGGGGGGAAGGGGGGGGACACTCTATAGATGTGTCCATTCGCCCCACATAAACACATAAAAAAAATGCCATAAAGTGAATTGGAAGTCAAATGCGAGCATCGCACGGATAGCTTTTCGCAATTGTCGCAAAATGTCTAATAAATAGACATGGGTGGGGTGTGTGGTGTGGGGGTGAGGGGTGTGTGTGTGTTGCCACCCACAAAAATCACCCACACCTATCCATCCAATCCACATCAAAATCCACCGCTTGCCGGTCTCCTCTCTCGTGAGGACTTTTCACGCATTTTTTTTTAATTTTCCATTTAGCCAGCTTTATTGGTGGATTGGCGGATGGGGTGTGGGGTTTGGGGTGTAGGGTGTGGTATCTAAAACCCACCCATTTAACCAACGAAAAGCAGACGCCCACTTAACCACCGATCTGCGATCCACAAGCACGCCTAATGCCATTGATGGTGCTGATTGCAGCAGGACGACGCGGGACTCGATTCGAATAATGAGATTTTCGGAAAAGCCAAAACCCAAAATCACCAGGGCACCATTTCAGTTTCCACCACCATCTCTCTTTACCGCCGACATGGCCATCTCCTATCAACCCCGCTGACTCTATCCGGATTTTCCCACTTCTGTTACGGGAAATGGGGAAAATTGTGGAAAATGTGAAGAGCGGTAGTATGGCAATATGGTAGTATAGCAGTGTGTGTGTGTGTGGTGCAAAGTTGCCTGCAACCGCAGCAAAACTCCAACAACAGTGTCAGCCTTTGTCACGTCCGCTTGGCCTTAACCCATTTAGCCGGGTCGGTCGCTTCTTGGCACTACCCCTTCTAGCTCTCTGCCTTACACCCAACCAACAGCCAACAACCAAAAAAAGTGGTCTCCATGTCCCACGAATCTCACCCACTTGAAAAAGTGAGACCACTAGATAAGTGCAAAGTAAATGAAATTTGATCTTTGTGAGAGGGTTAAATAGTTGCAGAGAGTTCAAGAGCAAACAAAAGATTTAATAAACTTGAAAGCTCAATGAATAACTCGGAAAATAAATGGGTTAAAGAATGTATAAGGTTAAGCTCTATAAACGAGTTAAGTAATACGACAGAAAAACTGATTTATGTAACTATCTTAGAGTAGAAAAATGTGTGGAAATCCATCAATTCGTTTGGGTTAGTAAAAAGAAACCAAAACTAAAAAATTTCCTAAACAAAATACTCAAATAAAGAAACAATTTTATAAACATTAACATAATAATAATCATAATCAGGCAATAACTTTATAAATTAGTTAAACAAATCAAAGACTAGCCTCTCATAAAAGCTTAAATTGGATTAAAGCTAATCAAATATGAAAACCCGAAATTAGATAATCCAAAAGCACAAATATGGAAACAAATTACTTAAATTGAATTCAAAAGAGCAAAAAGCAGAGACTACAAACTAAACAAATCACATTATAAGCATTAGCATTAGCATTAGCATTAAAAATGATTTAATTGTTAACAAAAATCAATCAAAATAATACCCCAAGAAAGCAATTTACAATATTTGTTAATCAAATGTTATTGCTTATAAAACCATCAAATGGTTTATAAATAATAATCAAGATTGTGCAGAGGACAATGAGTGAGTTTGGCCATTCAAATGCATAAATATTTGTTATCAGTTTGTAGATGAATTGCCTGATTGCCTCAAGCGGATAATGTCAAATGGCATTGCCATTGCCAGTTTCTTAAACGATTATTTTGAAAACAGGCAGAAGAGAGATTAAATTTATAAACTGCCAGACAAAATTTCAACCCAACTATGTTAGCTTGCTCAATAGTTTAGTAGCAGCAAGTAGAAGGTTGTAGTTGATATAACTAAGAGTAGTGTTTGCTTTGAATATTCATACTTTATGGTAAAACAACATCGTAGACCACTCTACTCTACTCTCCATTGATGATAAATCAAATGTGCTCATTTCCTTTTAATTTCAGTTTGAAATCTGTTTTGTGGCTGTGGTGATGGTGGTGGTGGCTTCTTCTGTTGGATTCTCCATTTGGCTTGGCTTTCCTTTTGCATTTCTGGTTTCTGGTATTTCTGGCTTTAAGTTCAAGCTTTTGCCACAGGAAATCCGTGTATTCGTGTATATTTCTCTCTTCTCTCTCTGTGTTTGGTTGTGTGTCTGTCTGTCTGTCTGTGAATGTTTGTGTGGAGTGGAATGGAATGTGCCACAAGTTTCCTTAGCTAGTCAAAAGTATTTCCATCTGTGATTTATATATATAAACTGCCTTCGTTTTATGGTAGCTATGGAATTTGAAACCTTTCCGGGGTTATGTTTTAGGGTTCTGGCTAGTTCAGGGGTTAATGTAAGCCAAGTGGCTGAGTCAATTATGCGGCTTATTAATGTTAATTGGTCAGGATATTGAGTGGCAAATAGTTCGTAATTGATATTTAACATTAGACCATATTGGCGGTTTACTTTTGAATTGTTTGTAATCGGTTTTTGGTTTTAAACGCATTTATAGGCCATGGTCCTGCCGCCGTTGGCCAAATGGCCCTATGAGAATGGATTCACCTTCACCACCTGGTTCCGTTTGGATCCCATCAATTCGGTGAATATCGAAAGGGAAAAGCCCTACCTTTATTGGTGAGTATTAAGTGTTAATTTTGCTTTATAAAAACAATTTTTAAAATATTTTTTTCGATTCTTATAATTTGCAGCTTCAAGACATCAAAGGGTGTGGGCTATACGGCGCATTTTGTGGGCAATTGCCTTGTTCTCACCTCGATGAAGGTCAAGGGCAAGGGCTTTCAGCATTGTGTCAAATATGAATTCCAGCCACGAAAGGTAAGGGCTTCTTAGGCATTTTCCTTGAATTATCTTTGACTTTGTTGTTTCTGTTTACAGTGGTATATGATTGCCATAGTGTATATATACAATCGTTGGACGAAAAGCGAAATCAAGTGCCTCGTTAATGGACAGCTGGCCTCTTCAACGGAGATGGCCTGGTTTGTTTCCACAAACGATGTGAGTATGGGGAATGGCAAGGATATTCTCAATAGCAAAGGCATTTTCTATAAAATATTTATTAAACGTGTTGTATTGTGTTTTGTTATGATGATAAGGTAAAAATTTATGCCTGATATTTTATTCAGTAAGAAAAAGAATAAGATTTATGAATTTGTCTCAGAAGGTAGTTGATGTATGTGAAACCCATTGCATACTTTTAGGCTTCTTTTTAAAAAAGGAACAACTCAGCTGCCTAGTTAATTAGTTGATATAATTAGATTTTAACCCTATATTAATCACTTGATTAACCCCCTTTTAGCCCTTTGACAAGTGCTACATTGGAGCCACCCCCGAACTGGATGAGGAGCGGGTGTTCTGTGGCCAAATGTCGGCGATCTACCTATTCAGCGAGGCACTGACCACGCAACAGATCTGTGCAATGCACCGCCTGGGTCCCGGCTATAAGGTAAGTGCTAGTCTATTTTTTTGCAATGGCTGATAAGTGGGATGGTTGTGCCACCTTGTTGGTGACCTAGTGAACCTACCCAGCAACAACCATCGCCCAGCAGCAGAAGCAGCAGCAGCGACGGTCTAGCGCACGCACCACTGCACCACTTTTTGCACAGCCGAAATGCCGCAGCAAAAAAATTGTCCTCGTCTGTACAGTAAAACGTCATAAACTCGTTTCTATATATATACAAATATATATATATTTATATTTATATATTCCTTTTCATTTTTTGCTCTTTTTTCTCTCTCTTTCCGTGTTTTTTACAAACTTCCTGTCCGCTGCACTGCTATAAAATAAAAACAAACAAACAAACAAAAAATCTATACAAAAAAATGCACAAAAAAAAAAACACAAAATTGTACACAAAAAAAAAAAAAAAAAAACGAAAAAACACTGTGAAAAAAAACAGTCGCAGTTCCGTTTCGACAACGAGTGCTATCTGAATCTGCCGGACAATCACAAGCGGGTGAGTCACTTTCAACTTCTGCCAGCGACCTTGGGGGCATCAGCACTGTCGGGCGTCAGTGGTAGTGGCACCGGAAGCGGTAGCGATGCAGCAGCAGCAGCAGCAGCTGTTGCCGCCGGTCAGCAACAACAATTGCAATTGCAATTCCAAACGCTGGCCGCCGAGCAAGAGGCGCGTGCCATCGATTGGTCCGATGAAAAGCTTGATTTAAATGCGGCATTTGTGAAAATTCGAGCGGTTTTAACTGCACGCAATGCAGTGACCTTGGCTGGTAGTAGCTCTACTGCAGGAGGAGTCACATCCTCCTCCTCCAACACCACCACCTCCGCAGCAGCAGGAGGAGGGGGAACAACTACCGCAGCAACATCTGCTGCACTGCCAGCAGGAACAGCAGCAGCAGCAGCGGCAGCAGCAGCGGCAACACAAAATGACAATGATGCGGCAGCGTTACAGCAGCAACTTGCAACAGCATCTGGCAATGCGGATGATCCGCTCAGCCACTTGCCCACTGGAAATGTTTCTTCTTTTGGTATTTATATTTCTTTCTTTCTTAATTTTTCTATTATTTTTTTTTATAATTTTTATGCAATTTGATTTTTATTTTGGGTTATCAAAACAGAGCAACTCCGTCGTATGTCCAGTGTGAGCAGCTTGAACTCAATGATCGGAAGCGCCGACACTGAGGAGGTCAACCAGCTGAAAGCTGTAAGCAAAAACTTGATTTTTATTTTATTTTAAGTTTTTTCTATTATTATTTTTTGTAAAATTTAGTCTCTTGCTTGGCATTTCTAAAGACAGTAAATGATTTTAGTTTTGATTTAATTTTAATATTATTTTACCAACACGTTGCCTTTTTTTCTGTTTCGTTTTCAAAATGTTATAAGTTTGTTTAAATTTTTTCCCAGAAAGTTAATCAATTAAGAAGTTACCACCGCCAGCATTTGAATCGAAAAAGCTTAAGTTTAGATTTATGTGTGTGTTTCCCTTCCATGTTGAAATCAAAGCCGAAAAAGTTGTAATTTTTCGGTAAGCAATTAGAAAGTTACAGAGGCAGCAATTAAATCGATAGCTTAAGGTTCTTTGCCTACTACATTATTTTTGGCTTTAAAAGTTCGAGGAGGGAAGGCAAGTTTATGGTAGCAATAACAACACAATGCCCGTTAACAGTGAGGCGAAGTAAATGTAGCGTATACCATGGGCAGGGCAGGTGTCTCAAAACAACGCCCCCACCAAAAAAAAAGAAAATAACGTAACGTACCAACCTGGCGGTAGACAAAGGTGAATATGTAAGGAAAAAAACAGCCACCACCCACCGGAGATTGTTGGAAATCTTTGGGCGCGCATGTTCCATATTCCGCTAGAACATTTTCTATGCCCCCGTGTACATGTGTGTGTGTGTGTATGCTGTATGCTGTATGCTCCACATTTCAGGACCCGAAACAGCTATTATGTAGACAGCCACCCACCCCACTTTTCACTTGCCTAGCCTAGCCTAGCCTAGCCGCCTAGCCAAAAACCCACCCATCCACTCACCTGTGCCAGGAGGTATTATGCCATTTTGTAGGGGGGTAGTGGGGTAGAGGGGTAGAGAGGGGGTCGGGGGTCGGAAAAGTGAGTGCTTTAGTTATTTTGAATGTTGTTTTTATGTGCCAAATCGGGAGTTGAGTTAATGGGATGGGAAAACACGGCCATACACACACTACATCCGCGCGAGCACGCAATCACATTTACAAACACACACACAGACACACACACATTGCGCTTTTAAGGGAAAATATGAGGAAAGTGTGGGAGGAGTAGGGGGGTAGAAAGTCGTGATCCCCAAGAAGAAAACTGTGACGCGAAATAAATGTTTAAGAAGAGCGCCCATTGAGGTAGTAAAAATTCAGATTTAGGTAGATTTTGGTTTTCCTTTTAAGGTGTTTTCATAAAATTTGAAATGTTAAATGTTTATTATTAAAGGAAAATATTTAATTTAAGTAATTAAAATTCAGATTTTTTATGGCTTAAAATTTTAAGTTTTTTTTATTATTTTTTTGCTTGCTTAACTTTTCCAATTTTTGTTCCTTTTTTTTGGGGATATTACAAAGAAGTTTTCTTTTTGCCAGCTAATTAGGCAGCCAACCATAAATTGTTTTAATATAAACACCAGCTTACATCTATGGCACACACACACACACACCAACATTCAACACACACATAGACACTGCCAAAATGCACTAAAAGGAGATGAAAACTCGAAGCTTGAGGAAAATCTCTGCCAAGAACAAGAAGCTGAAATGCAACGATGCGTGTTGTGTATATATATTTATTGTATATATATTCTTGAACAGCATTTGAATAGTTTTATATTAAATACGCACACACACGCACACACACAGTGCCGTTTATGGGGTGTGTGGTTTAATTTTTATGACCTGGCAGAGAGTTTATTATAGATTTATACAGAATTTATCAGAGCACGAAGAAAATTTACAAGCCAGCGAGAGCTGCACATTACTTTCTTGATTAGCTTTGATTGCTTTTTAGTAAGTTTAAAGGTTTAAGTTTAAGGTTAAAAAATGGTTAAAACTTGAAGAAGAAAACTTAAATTTCACTCAAACTTATCAGTTTATATATCATCTTGATTGACTTTTTTAAGTTCCGCAGTCTTGGGACAAATTTAACTTTTCATTTTTTTTGATTTTAAAATCTAAAATTTGTCTTTTACAACTCTGCTGGGTTTTGGGTTTTTTTTTTGGGATTTTACCAACTTATCTTTCTGTCTCCATTTTTGTGTGTGTGTGTGTATTGCTGTGTTGTGTTGTTGTGTTTTTTTTTTTTTTTTTTTTTGTATATTTTGTGTGCCAGCTTAAAGCCAAAGCCAAAGCCAAAAGCAAAAGCAAAAGCAAAAGCAAAAGCAAAGCTAAAGACAAAGCCTAAGTAAATTGCAATAACCTGACTGAAAGACATATCTTTGGTCGATGGATAGGGCGACATCCATGGAGAAGTCGTTCCATCCTTAGTGCCCAGCTCTCGTTGCCACTCGATGACTCGCCGAAAGCCCAACCTAATCCCTGCTAGTATATAGATATATATATATATATATACTGCTTCCCAATTCCCTGGAGTTACACCCAAACCTCCTTGGCCACGACCCTCTTGATTTCCCCCGATTCCCTCGATTATATTCACCCAACAACATCTACCTGTTCTCTGTGTTGCCCACAGGTGCTGTACGATGGCAAACTATCGAATGCCATTGTGTTCATGTACAATCCGGTGGCCACCGATGGTCAATTGTGTCTGCAGTCGTCGCCCAAGGGAAACGTTTCATATTTCGTGCACACGCCGCATGCGCTGATGTTGCAGGTGAGTAAATGACAGGTGAAAAGGTTGGTGTGGGGGGAGGGCTGGGACCGGCTTGGAAGTAAGCCTCCCAGGAAGCATAAATTCCATGCAGAAATTTTACGACACCGGCGCATGCCTTGGCATTTCTTATTAGCCCTCGAAAAGTCCGGTCCGAAAAGACCGGAAAGCATGGTGCGAGAACGAGGCGACTCGACACGGCTCTGGCCGAAAAATTATTCAATAAATTTTGTAGTAATTTCTTGGGCAAACAAACACACAAATCATAAGATGCTGGAGCATGAGCAGGAGTACCAGAGACTCAACGAAGCACGAAGCTTGGACGAAGAACGTGTCCTGTGCAAAATACGGGGCTGATGACAGCTTAGGCGATTAATAGACCTCTGATTAAATTGAAATTTGCTTTTGCAGGATGTGAAGGCTGTGGTCACGCACTCGATACACTGCACCCTCAACTCGATTGGCGGTATACAGGTGCTGTTCCCGCTCTTCTCGCAGCTGGACATGGCCCATGAGGGTCTGGGCGATATCAAACGGGATCCCACGCTGTGGTAAGTTTAATGAGTTTAAGGGGGAAATCATCTATAAGAGATTCCAATTTAATCCCATCTTATTAATATTTATATTTAATTTAATTTTAGCTCAAAGCTGCTTGGCTTCATCTGTGAACTGGTGGAAACATCGCAGACAGTGCAACAGCATATGATCCAGAATCGGGGTTTCCTGGTTATCTCGTTTATGCTGCAGCGCTCCTCCCGCGAACATCTTACCCTTGAGGTCCTTGGATCCTTCCTGAACCTCACCAAATATCTGGTCACCTGCCTGTCGGCCAATAGCGATCTGCTACTCAAGCAGGTAAGTCGGTTGTCGTATATAAATCTTGCCTGCCTATATGCTAGACTATATAAATATCATAAAAATATATATATAATATAAGGAGGGATGATCGGATGCATTGCGTACCACGCTGCGTATGCGTAATGTCAATGGCATGCCCTGTTTTTATTTTGTGATGAATGTAAAATGTATTTCTATGTATTATATTTATAACTAAAAACTAACTAAGTTCGATCTAAGTGTCAGTTAATATTTTTTTTGGGGGGTGGTTAAGCATGCGAAAAGCCCGCCCCTCAGCGAACGAATCTTCTTGCGAATTTGATTTACAACTTTGTTACGCGTTTCTCTTGTTGTTCGTTTTACACCCGATAAAAAAAAAAAAAACCCACACACCCAAACCTTCGATTGTTCTTCGGGTGGCATGTTAACCCATCTCTCTGAAAAAAAAAGAAAAGAAAAACAAAACAGAAAATCCCAAAAATGATATGCGAATTCGTCTCGTTTCGTTGCTTTCTCTGTCTCTATCTCTCTCTCTTTTCACACACACACACAAACACACACACTCACACACACATAAATACCTATATATATACATACATCTAACTCTATCTATCTATCGCACTCACTGTGTTTTGCCTTTTGTTGATGATGATTTGATGATATGATGATGATGATGATGATGATGGTTATGATGATGATGATGATGATGATGGCGCACAGTTGAACACAGGCCTGCGTAATCCTTTCAAAAAAGTAAACACAACCGTAAACAACTGCTCACATTTCTCGTTATAAGTAACTGCACTTGAGAATCTCTTAAGCAAATATACTCGTACTCGTACTCGTACTCGTACTCACAAGCAATCCACCTACATGATATATATATATATATGATATAAAGACTCTATATATATATATATATATGTATCTCCGGTATATTTATGTTTGTTTTATGCCATTTGGCAGCCTGTGCGACCTGGAGGAAGAATACTACTACACGTATATCTCCCCCTTGAAATCCCATTGGCTGCCGCCGCCCATTGAATTCTGTAACCCGCTTAGTTTTTAACGTAGAACAAGCGAGTCGTCGAGTCTTTGTTCTATTATTTAAGCTGAGAGGGTATATGGAATCTGAGAGAGATTGGCTTTTGATTGTTTCACTTTTTAGTTAACATTGTATTGGCTAAACTGATTTAATGGCAGATAACTCTTATTTTCTTAAATTTTAAATCGATTTCTTACGTCGTTTTTTTTGTTTTTACCGGACTTTTGCATGAATTTCTTGCCACACTTTGTTCCCCCTGCATGTTGTGTGCTTTGTGGAGAAGCTTACATACTGATTGGCTGATAGCAAATTGTTTCATTCCAACGTTTCGATTACGATCACTTGTCAAACATAAACGATACATTTGCTTAACATTTCGTTTCGTTTCGCTTGCACTACTTTGCATCTGCCTGGGCACTCGCTCGCTTGATCAGCTCGAAAACATAAATGCGATTAATCAAAATTAATTAATTTCCCTAGCCAAAAAAAAAAAAAAGAAAATCAGCAAATAGCGAGAAAAAAAAGAAAAGAAAAGAAGAGAAGAAAACATTATATTAACCACAAACTTAACTGTCTTCTTCTACTTTTGTCTGCTCTCTCTTTCACTCTCACTCTCTTATATACTTAAACCCCTGCGATCAAACTATTTCTTTCTCTCTTTCTCTCGCCCTACTTTATGTTTCCTGTCACGCCCACACGTACCCACACACACACACACACTCATGATCGCTTGTACATCAACTCAAATCGTTTCCATTGCTTTTTGTTATTGTGATCGTTTATCGATAACTCAATGCGCCTCATCGATATACAAATATGAACAAACAACAAACATTTACACAAATAATACAACAACAACAATGATAATATGAAAAAACATCAACAACAACAACAACAACCGAACTATAAACAACATGAAAAACAACAGTTCTACCAGGTGAAGCTCAATTCTCGAATTCTCTGTACTATATCTGTACTTGCCATATATATGTGTATATATATATTACCCTCAATACTATATATATGTAAAATATATATGTGTGTGTAAACATATATGTTTCCGTTTCCGTTTCCGTTCCACTGTTCATAACGTTTCGTTTTCATTTTTGTGTCTCTATGTTGTTAGCGTAATTTGTTGTTAAACATCCATCTGTACATGAATGTAAAACTCCCATCTCATCATCTTCTCACTCGACCTACAGAACTCATTCATCGATTTGTATACTATATATGTTATATGTTATATATGTTTTATATAGCTAACTCATTTCATATAGTGTTCATTCCATTCTGTTCCGTTTCCGCTTTGTTGAACCGCCGCCAAACCGCAACGATAAACCGCATAATCTTATTAACTTTGAGGCAAGCCTTGAGCACAACCTCCTTCTCAGCGTGTTTCCCTCATCTAAAAAAGAAAGAAAGAAAAGGAAAGGAAACCAAAACCCCAACGTCAATTCCAGATTTTACTTTTGCTTTGGCTTTTCCTGGTCCCTTGCCACATTTTTCACACCCCCCCTCCAAACACTTCATACTCCGTTCCGTTCCTCACTCAATTTGTTCAATGTGTCATTTGGATAATTGAAGCGAAAGTTGTGTTCACAGCACCGCATCGCACCTTCCTAATTGCTCGCCTCGCATATCTCCAATCCCTTTCTATATATATATATCTATATATATATCTACCATTCCACAATCCGATTCTGCCTTGTCCTTCGCAAAATGAATAAATTTTCCTGGTAGCAAAAAAAAAAAAAAGAAAATGAAAAAAGAACGCAGAGTTGAAAAGCTGCAAATATTTTTCGTGGCACCTTTGGGGGTATGTGCTGGTTGCATTTTTATTTTACATTCGTTGCACCGCTTTTTAATTGGGAAACTTCTCTACTTCTCTGCTCTGGCAATAGTAGTCGTCGAGTAGGGTTGGGTTGGGTTGGTTTGGGGCTGCTGGGTTTTGGGCTTTTAAAGGGGGCCTTTCCATGGCATGGAGTCATCATGGGGTGGGGGCGGTCTAAAAACCTTGTTGCATTGTTGCCAGAGAGGGAGAGAGAGAAAGCCATGGCAACAACATTGGCGAACACTGGTTTTGACAATCCAACAAGTTGAGGCAATGGCTTAACAAGTTTTTGTTTGGGCCCGGCCAAAAGCAGATGAATGAAATTAAAGCGGATTGCGATTCCCACAAGCCAGAAGTTGCCCTTAACTGGATTACGCTCAGATAGTTCCAGTGCAGACTTTAATGTGCCAACCATTAAGTGACTTCTTCGGGCGGTACTTAAATGGTCTGGTAGAAAGTCAGGGGGGAGGACAACTGCTGTACTGACTAAAGGGGTTTGACATTAAAAGAGCATAGAACTGATTCATTTAGTTTGCATAACATATCATAAATACAACATTAAGATAGTCCCAAAGATGAAATAACCTTCTCATCGATTTCAGTTAGTTTCTCAAAAGAACATTCAGTCATTTCGCCAGCATTAACTTTTTATATATATCTAATATTTAATATCTAATATCTAATGTGTTATTTTCATTGAACAATTTTAGCCCTAAACTTACTCTTAGTCCTAACTTAACCTTACCTTATTGAGCCTTTAGCTTAGCCTAGCCTAGCCTAGCCTAGTTTTAGTTTAATTTAGTTTTAGTTTTAGTTTTAGTTAAGTGTTAAAATCGTAACTATTAAAGCTAACTAACCAATAACAACCTCATCAAATACCGGAATGCAATTGTTTCGTTTCGTTTCATTTCGTTCCGTTCCGTTTACGTTGGAATTTGATTTTATGTTCGTTGATTGCCGTTATGCTGTATGCTGTTTGCTGCATGTGTTACCTGTTTTACCCCAAAAACAACAACAACAACTACTACTACTACTACTATCCCAAAATATAAAATATATATCAACATCAACTACAACAACAACAACAACAACAACAACTATGACAACAACAATAAAATAAAACTTAAAACCGAAACTCATGTTTAACCGTATGTATACCAAAATCGATCTCATAATTTTTATAACCTGCACTATCTCTGCTCCCCCTTTATAAATATCCACATGCTAAACCTCTTTGCCTATCTCCCTAACTATATAATACTATATCTATCTATATACGAACACCAACACACACACACACCCTTTCGTTTTCGAGCTACACACCCCCCACATACCCCCACGAGACAATGTCACCCAATAGAAATGTAAGAGGACAGCATAAGTTACTTGACTAATTCCCCGCAGTTGTTCTGTTTCTCGTTTCTCACGTGGCAGCTGCTCGATCATGTCCTCTTCAATCCAGCTTTGTGGATCTACACACCAGCGAATGTCCAGGCGCGGCTCTACTCCTATTTGGCCACCGAGTTTCTCTCGGACACGCAGATCTACAGTAATGTCAGGAGAGTCAGTACAGTACTACAGACAGTGCATACTCTAAAGTACTACTATTGGGTGGTGAATCCGCGGGCCAAGAGCGGCATCATTCCCAAGGGACTGGGTGAGTGAAGGCTTTGAAAGATTTCTAACTAAAAGATTTGTTAACTATAAAACCGATTATGTGCTTCCTGTGCTTGCCTTTCTATCAACAGATGGACCTCGTCCAGCTCAAAAGGATATCCTGGCCATACGTGCCTACATCCTGCTGTTCCTCAAACAGCTCATAATGATCGGCAATGGCGTCAAGGAGGACGAGCTGCAGAGCATACTCAACTATCTGACCACCATGCACGAGGTGGGTGGATCGATCTAACTAGTGCTAGCAAGTCCATACTCAAACTATTTCTCTTTCTGTTTTCTATGTTTTTAGGATGAGAATCTGCATGATGTCCTGCAGATGCTCATCTCACTGATGTCGGAGCATCCCAGCTCCATGGTACCTGCCTTCGATGTAAAGCACGGTGTGCGCAGCATCTTCAAGTTGCTGGCAGCCGAGAGTCAGTTGATACGGCTGCAGGCCCTCAAATTGTTGGGTTTCTTCCTTTCGCGCAGCACCCACAAGTGAGTACAGTGAACATACATAATATAGTTAATCATAAATAGTGACTTCTTTTAATATAATTGTTTATGTAATCTAAATCTATTTTTATATATTATCTTGATTTTACCCATTTAGACGAAAGTACGACGTGATGTCGCCACACAATCTGTATACATTGCTGGCAGAGCGATTGCTCCTCTATGAGGAGTCATTATCCCTGCCCACCTACAATGTCCTCTACGAGATCATGACGGAGCATATCTCCCAGCAGATTCTGTACACACGACATCCGGAACCGGAGAGTCATTACCGTTTGGAGAATCCAAGTAAGTGAAGATTTTTCTTAGCTCTCAAATCTGTAAACTTTAATAATTATTATTTATTTTATTATTTTATTTTGAATTTAACTTAATCAACTTTAAAAATCCTTGCCCATCCTCCAGTGATCCTCAAGGTGGTGGCCACCCTGATCCGACAGTCCAAGCAGACTGAGTCTCTGATCGATGTTAAGAAGCTATTCCTTCAGGATATGACTCTACTGTGCAATAGCAATCGCGAGAATCGCCGGACAGTGCTCCAGATGTCTGTGTGGCAGGAGTGGCTCATAGCGATGGCCTACATTCATCCGAAGAGCAGCGAAGAGCAGAAGATCAGCGATATGGTGTATTCCCTATTCCGTATGCTGCTCCATCATGCCATCAAGCATGAGTATGGTGGTTGGCGAGTTTGGGTTGACACTTTAGCCATTGTCCACTCGAAGGTGTCTTACGAGGAGTTCAAACTTCAGTTTGCCCAAATGTATGAGCATTATGAACGCCAGCGAACGGATAATATCACTGATCCTGCCCTGCGTCAGGCTAGACCCATTAGTACGATCAGTGGTTGGGAGCGAGAGGAGCTGCATCAGCAGCAGAATGGTAGCGCTGCTGCAGTGGCTTCGAATCAAACAGCAGTAGCAGCTGTTAAGGGAGCTGTTTCCATTGCCTCGCTGGAGGATGTGCCACCGGTGGTCGAGGAAGAGGTCGAGGAATTGGAACTCGAGGAAGTGGAGATTCAAGAGGGTCCCATCATCGAAGAAGCCGAACAGAAATCCGTGATAGCCAATATTTCCGATGTCTACAATGAGCAGATCAAAACAGATGCCACATGCAATGGCAATCTGGAGGAGGTCAAAGAGGAAGATCCGGCCCAGGAGCAAATTGAAGAACTGGAGAAGCCATCGTCGGAACAATCACCATTGGGAGCCCTCAGGGAAACCCTACAATTGGGTGATGATATGGATGTTGAGGAACTGGAGCTGGCCACGGCCAAGGATGCCATCAATGCGGAACAGCATGTGGCGCGTGTTCTGCAGGCCTCCGAAGCGGCACTCAACGATTGCAAAATGGCCGTTGATGATGTCCTGCAGGAGTCATCCTCGGTGCTGAAAGACGAGGAGATCGAACTGGCCGTTAACGAAGTGGTTCAGGGTGTTCTTAACAATGAGAAGAAATCGCAGGCGGACAAGGATAAGGATCAGCCAGCTGGACAGGATGTGAATGTTAGCCTGCTGAACAGCAAGAATCTGCTCAACAATAATAATAATAACAACAATAATAGTCCGAGTCCTACGCTCACAACGGCAACAGCAACGGCAACGGCAACGGCGGAAACGACGGAAACAGAAACGGAAGCGGAGGTCAATGCCAATGAGATCGTGAGTAGCACACAGGCGGCGTCAAAGGAGGAAACGAAAACGGAAACGAAAACGGAAATGGGCTTAACACCGGAAGTGGAAACACCGGAAACGGCCAAGCCAAGCCCAATAATCCCCAGCCCCGTAGTAGCAACCAATCAAAAGACTGAAGATGCAGCCAACAAGCTGAATAACAACGAGAAGCTGGCCGAGACTAGTAACGCTAGTCCCGAGCCCATTATTTTGGAAACCCCAGAAGCCGATCTTCTCCAGCTTTCTGATACCGAATCCAAACCGGAAAAGGAACCAGAAGCAGAGGATCCGGTAGCTTTGGCCGTACGAGATATTGTCGAGCAACTCATCGACAAGGTTATCGATGCCACGGAAGCGGAAACGGTCAGCGAAACCAAAACGGAGACAAATAACAATGAGTTACCCAAAAATGAGAAGCAGAGTTCAGAGGCCGCGGCGGAAGTCGAGACTCCAGAAAGCCTGGCTGCTGCCGCCGAGGAAATCGTCCAGGAAGTGGTAGAAGCCGCTCTTGTTTTGGTCCAAGAGGAGGATATCCCGGAGGAAGCAGAAAAGGAAGCTAAAACCCAGGAAACGGATAAGGAGAAGGTAAAGGAAGAGGAAGATTTGCTGCAGCTGGAGGAAAAGCCAGCAGTGGCAGAGATTCCAGAAGCTAAGGTTCTAGTTGAGGATCCTAAGCAACCAGAAGAAACCAAATCCCAGGAACTTAAAACCAAAGAACCTGAGGATCAAAAGTCTCAGAATATGCCCGTTGAGCTAACCCAGAAACCAGAGGAACAGGTATTGACCATTGTTAACCAAGTCCTGGACACTCTGGTCGACGAAACTGTCAAGGCAGTGGCCGCCGAGCAAACCACTCAGACGTCACCGGCTCCCGAAGAGCAATCACCACAGATTCTGGCCAAGGAAACGTCAGTGACGCCAGTGCGTGTTAAGCCCACTGAGGTGGACTCCACCACCCAGACAACGCCGAAAAATGAAGCTAGTGCCAATCTAATGGTTGAAGAGGTGCAGCAAGTTCTCCAGGAGGACGAAGCACAAACTTCTGGTGGCATTGCCATCGAAGATGATGAGTACACCAATCAACAGCCAGCATCGGGAGTTGATAGCAATGCCAGTCAAATGGAGGCCAATCATTATGGTCCAGCCGGTGGTAATCCGGAATCGAAGCAGCAACAACAACAACAACAGCATCCGCAGCAGCAGCAGCAACAGCAGCGCTCCAAATCGGGATCAACGCGACCGATGTTTAGTCCTGGACCAACACGTCCACCATTCCGGATACCAGAATTCAAATGGTCGTACATCCATCAGCGATTGCTTAGCGATGTACTATTTTCCCTGGAAACGGACATACAAGTATGGCGCAGTCATTCGACCAAGAGCGTCCTGGACTTTGTCAATTCCAGTGAGAATGCCATCTTTGTGGTGAACACGGTGCATTTGATATCCCAGCTGGCGGATAACCTGATTATTGCCTGTGGAGGATTGCTGCCTCTATTGGCCAGTGCCACGTCACCGAATGTGAGTATTTGAGAGTAGTTTGGTATCCGATTACTGACCTTTCCTTTCCCCACCCCCTTCTCTTCTATTCGTAGTCCGAACTTGATGTGCTGGAACCCACGCAGGGCATGCCTTTGGAAGTGGCCGTATCCTTCCTGCAGCGTCTGGTTAATATGGCAGATGTTTTGATCTTTGCCACATCCCTGAATTTCGGAGAACTGGAAGCGGAAAAGAATATGTCTAGTGGTGGCATTCTACGACAATGCCTGCGATTGGTCTGCACCTGTGCGGTAAGAAATTGTCTGGAATGTAAGGAGCGTACGCGTTATAATGTCGGAGCTTTGGCGAGAGATGTTCCGGGTGCAGCGCATCTGCAGGCCCTCATACGTGGAGCTCAGGCATCGCCCAAGGTGAGATATCCCCCCGCCAGCCCAAGACCCCAATCCTTGTTCTCTCCTCTCTCTAAAGTCACATTTTGAACAGAACATTGTCGAGTCAATCACCGGTCAATTATCACCTGTTAAGGATCCCGAGAAGCTGCTCCAGGACATGGACGTTAATCGCCTGCGTGCTGTTATCTATCGTGATGTGGTGAGTTTGGAAATAGATTTATATTCTTAGTTTCTAAGTTTAACTTTTAGCTAATTTTATATATATTTTTTAAATTCATTTTTGTTTATATTTTTGACTTGCCATTTTCCAGGAGGAGACCAAGCAGGCACAATTCCTGTCACTGGCCATCGTCTACTTTATATCCGTGCTGATGGTGTCCAAGTATCGTGATATTCTGGAGCCGCCGGCAGAGCCGCAGATTCAGCGTCAATCGCCAGTGCTACAGCGCACGGCAGGCGGCGGTAAGTGGCAATCAACTTAACTTAACCCAAAACGATATATATATATCTATATATATATATCCCCCCGATCTTGGTTGGGATCTGTTCCTGGAAATGCCTTAGATGAAAGACTTTTAATACCCATTACTAGAGATGATCTTTTTTATGGGACAAGGAAACGAACTTCTGCCGGCGGCAGTCTTTCCGTTTCATTGTCATTTCGTGTTCCGTTTCCAATTTGTTTTTCGTTTTTCTTTCACTTGTGTTCTTCGGTTGCGTTTCGTTCTTTGTTTCGATTACGATTACGATTTCGATTTACATTTTTGTTTGATTTTCGATTTGGATTTACCTTCTCTTTGCTGCACCAAAAACTTCACGCTCGTTTATCGTTTTGAACGTTTTTGGCTATGTTTTTCGATTCGGCCGCTAGTTAACTGGATTTCTGTTTTCTGTTTTCTATATATATATATTATTATTATTTCTATAATATATATCTATATATATATATTTATGGATTTTTTCGTTGTTTTATCAATTCGTTTCATTTCTCATCTCAGTTTTGGCTTGTTTACGCTTTTGGTTTTGTGTTCTGTGTTCTTTGAAAAGCTGAACAAAAGTTTATTAAATGGTAGATTGCCACTCGATGAGAGTTTTTTTTATATATATCGAAACACCTTAAAGCCCACGACCAAAACCACCAAACCACCCCCCTCCCACCACCACCACCACTACTAAACCACCGCACTTTAACCGCTGGACCCACCTTAAATCCCCCTCTAGAACTCCTCCCATGTGCGTGTGTGTGTTCCCTTTGGAAAAATAAATCACCTCTCCCACATCATTACCATCCATACACCACCAAATAATCCACTCCCTCACCCCCCTTTTACTATATAAATATATATATATATATATATTCCATATATATATATATATAATCACTAGCTATTAAGAACACAAAAATATCTCATGTCTGTTCCATTGTTGGAGATACTATTCGGTTTTATGTTTCCTTTTCTTTGTTCCGTTTACCGATGATTTCATTTCACGCTGCTTTTTCGGATTTATTGTACAAAAAAATATATCATAAACAAAAACCAAAAAAAAAACAAAAAATTACATAAAAACGGAAAACTGATTTTGAATCAACACCAACGAATACCTCGCCTTTGCCACACACACAACCCGCCCTCCTAAATATGTGTGTAAATACCATAAAAAACCAAAACAAAAACAAACTTTAGAAGCCGCCAGTGCGCGTCCTTTGTTCCCCCAATGGTCGCATCATGTTTACCCGCAATTCCTGCCCGAATCGCACCAGAATCACAGCAACAACATGCAACACCAGCAGCAGCAACAGCAACAGCAGCAACACTACTATCAGCAACAGCAGCAACAGCAACAGCAAGTTGCCCATAATCACAGCCATCATCATATGGCGGCTGCTTACTACCAGCAACAACAGCAACAGCAACAACAGCAACAGCATCAGCAAGTTGCAGTTGCCCAGCAACAACATTCACCCACACCTTTGGCCACACATTCGACCAGTTCTTCGGCCAGTTCTACGGCCACATCTCAGCCAGCTTCGAGTTCCTCGCTCTCCAGTTTGGCATCGCAAAGTCAGCAACAGTCGTCGCATCGTCAGTTGCACAAACAGCAGCAACATTACCATCCACATCAGCCGCACTATGGCTTGATCAATGGTCATCAGCAGCACCAGCAGCAACTGAATGGTAAACATTATACGGAAAATGGATCGGCATCGGGAGTAGGAGGAGGAGTAGGAGGAGGAGTAGGAGGAGGAGGAGGATATCACCAGCATTCGCATCCACATCCGCATGGTGGTTATATGCGAAATGGCGAGTCAACGGCACAGCAGAATGGCATTTCAGACTATCAGGTAGTGGGTCTGATGAATGGACATGGCTCCGGTAATGCGACCGGTAATAACAATAATTCCAGTCTGATGAACAACATGAGAAATCTGAGAAATGGTGGAGGAGCAACAGCATCATCAACATCGCCAGGAAACCATCAAGGAATCCCAGGTGGTGGTGGTGGTGGCGGTGGCGTTGGCGGTGTTGGTGTTGCAACGACGGCAGCTGTTAATGCAAATGCTGTTGGTGTTGGCATGGGTGTAGCAGTGGGCGGTGGCGGTGTCATTGGAGGCATGGCTGGGGGCTTGGATGGAGGCGTGGCCTACAAGACGAGCGCCATAAATAATAATTACCGCTACAATGGACGCAACGCATCCGCTGGAACAGGTATCGCTCGTTCGACTGTCGTAGAGTTTAATAGAGTTAATAACTTCGCACTAACTGCCCAACAAACTATATATCTATATATGTATCTGTATACTATAATCTGTATTCTATCTATCTGTAATTCTTAGCTATATATAGTCAGGTTCCACTGTGAAAGATACAAATATTAGTTTAAGTAATAAGCTAAGCTTTCGACTCTCTCTCTTTACTTTTTTGGACTAAAGAAAGTCTTTGCAGATAGCAAAGAACTAAATCCTTAGATTTCTTTAATCTAAACCTTAAACTAAAGTGGAACCTGGCTATAACTCTTTTCCATATCTATATATTTAGCTTAGATTGTTGCTCACTTTCTTGCCTTCCCTTGCGATTCGTTATGATTTGATTTGTTTTTCGATTTTTGGTTTTGATTTTGTCGTTTCACTTGCCTTTCATTTCCTTGAATTTCCGTATATTCGTAGATCTATGTGTGTGTGTGTGTAAATATATATAAATGAAGCTGCCTTTCAACTAAATATTTACATTTGTATATAAACGAGTTTTTAACCCTTTCCCAACACACCAAAAACGTTAAAACTAAAAACGTACTAAGACGTGACGTAAATATTCTTCTAGGCCAAGTCTTTGTGCTAATTTTTACCTTATCGTTGGATGTATGCTATGTGCTGTGTGTGGTTATGAGTATGTGTTTGGTGTTTTTGGTTGCCTTTTCTGGCAAACATATATATATGTATGTATAGGTAAGACACAAACACAGACTCATACTTTGGGGAATTGGAGAAAAAGCATTTTTTGGCCTTCTTTTGTTGAGTTTTTAATTGGTTTTCATGAAGAAATGCATCTTGGCTTTAGTTTGAAATATAAAAATATACAAATTTAAAGTATTATCCTTGGCAGGCGCTTAGCTATATACGAATCTATATATTTATTCTTATCTAAAACGTCTCTCATTCAAAGTATTTTTAATAAATAATTCAACCGTTTTATCCTGCTTAATTTAGAGCAGTTTTCTTCCTTGATGATTTTTCCCCTTTTTCCCCTTTTCTTCATTTTATTTCCAGTTTTTCTCTGATTTTCCTTCTGCCGCACATTTTGCACCATCAATTATGATTTGCAATTTGAAAATTTCACAATCAAACTTCTAGGGAAAATGTTCATTTTGATTTTATGTTTGTCAGTGCTGGAGGAGACCAACATTTAATTGCCTGATTGAGGATGCTTTTTAATTGGGTTTCTCGTTGCTAATGTGTGTGGGAGGAAAGTGCATCTGTGTGTGTGTGTGTGTGTAGAAAATTGGTGTAATGGCTAGTACGAAAATTTTTGCGGCCAGGCATATAACGGTATCCAAATATGCTTTTAAAAAGTGCAATCTATCTTTGTAAAACTCGCACATGCACACACACACACATAGACATGGACACATTGACAGCTAGAAAATTTTTGACACGTTCGGGGCTCTAGGACTTTTCTTCCTCTTTGCCCCCCCTCTCTCCATCTCTCTCTCTCTTTCTCTATGTTTTTCTTTTTTGCTCGTCATTTTTGTGCTGTCAGCAAAAATCCATTTCATTTATCTTCATTTGCAATACACTCTCAAACTTACACTCACACACACACCGACATACACACACATAGGCAGGGAGAAAGCTGGAAAAAGCACTCCCCATGAAACCTCCCTCCACTTTTCTTTCCACCGGCAATGAAACATAATTCGTTAATTTTACATTTTATGAAAATGAATTACACGAAAATTATACAATTTGCCATTCATACATGGCTCTCTTTTTCCTGCTCTATAAGTAAGTGTGTGTGTATGTGTGTGTGTGTGTGTTTGCATGGGCAAGTGTGAGTGCGCATAAAACATTTCGCAGACAGGGGCCATAAAACGGCATTCGCCACGCCTGCATTTTAAAAATTGTAAAAATTGCCATTGGACACGGTCAGGGAAAAAGGCCAAGGGAAAGAAAGAAAAAGCAGGAAAAAGTCCGAAAAATTGGATGCGAACTGCTTTTCTTTTTGGGTTTTTTTCAATTTCTATCTGAATAAGGAATACCCTTTAAAAAGGCGAAGTGAGTAAATCAACTTTTAAAATAATATTTTCGAACGCGAAACTTGTTTTATGTACCTTAATAGAGGGACTTAATTAGCCTCATTAAATATTTTATGATATTCCCAAAGTCAGCTGGCATAATCGTATTTTTTTTCATTTTGGCCCTGCATAAATTTTCCCTTGATCTGGGCAGCAGCTTTAAAGCAATAATCAAAGGACACTCGCTGCCACATAGATCCTTTTAACACAGCAGGGCGGTGGTGCAACAACAACAACAACAACAACAACAACAACATTTCCATTACGAAATTAATGGCAGCGACAAAAATGTAAATTAGTCTCACCGAAAAATACCAAAAAAAAAAAAAGAGAGAGAAAAACTGAAAAACATAACAGACTCTGGGAAAACTTTGGGATAATTTATGAAAGGACAAGCGGGGGAAAAAAATACAAAAAAAAATACAGCAAAAAAAATGAAAAGGTGGAAAAACAGTTTGTACAACTGTTGGAGCCGATAACACGCTCCGACTTCTGTACAAAAGTAATTTGTGGCCAGCTCTCTTTTTCAATCTGTCTGTGTATGTGTGTGTGTATATGTGTGTGTGCAAGTAGGAGTAAGGGCGTGGCAGTGCATGAAAATAATTGCAAAATTAAACCAAAAAAAAAAAAGAAAAAAAAAAGAAAAACCCTGAAAATGAAATGAAACTGCGGGTAGGAGAAATGCGGGGGCGAGTGCACAAAAGTGTAGCATACTTAACAGGGGCCAGCGGGCGAACGAGACAGGCGAACGAGTGGTTGTAGACAGAGACAGAGAGCACGTGTCTCCGGCACAATCATAAATTTCAATTAAGCCAGATCAGGACATGGCCAACATCTGAACAAGGTTAATTTGCAGATAAAAGCCAGAAAGCCAAGTCCAGCAAAAATCTTACAAATTATGATATCTCAGGGATGGACAGGAAAATTCGTAGTACAATGAATGGAAATGTTTTTTTTCCCATAAGCTAAGGATTTTTATAGATTTTTTTAAGGATTCGCTGCTCCTAAATTTTTGATTTTCCTTATAAAATTAAGATTTGGAAAAATCGAAATAATCTACCGAAAATTATTCATGTCTTCACATTTTTATTCTCTGCACCCCAAAAGCTTAATCTTCTAATGAACACCTTTGCGTGTGTGTGTGTGTGTGAGTTTAAGTTGGTTTTACATTTTGTGTTCTTTGATTTTTGATTTTTGCTTTTTTTTTGTGATTTCATTTCTTGAGTTCCTTTACAGCTTCGTAAAAGTAAATTCTACAGATTTCTACTCTAGTATTGTATCGTAAACTGCAACAGCAAAAAAACGAAAATCAATTTTTCAAATAATAAATAATCAAATTGTTAATACTCTTTATCATTTCTTCTTCGTTTTCCATATTAATTTTGTATTATTTTCCAGGTGGTCGTCAAATGCAGGATAGTGACTATGAAATAATCGTTGTCGATGAGAACAATCCATCGGTTTTGGCTGATAATGATTCGCATTCAAGTGGACCGCCATCGATTAAGGTGAGTTTTGATATCTCCGATTTGGTTCCTAAACTTTAGTGATTTTAATTAATTAAAAAGTCTAAAAGTGGGGCATTGGAGTGCATTCTTTACCTCCACCTAATTTGCAAATTCACTTTTAGACATACTTTCGAAATTACCTTTAAATGAAACTTTTACCTTACTCTGAGGTTGTTTGCTTAGAAGTGTGTGTGTATGAGAGAGAGAGCGAGAGTCTTGCATGTTAATTCATAAAAAAAAATGTTTTTAAAATTGCCAAAAAAAAAAAACGAAACAGAAACTAAATTTCATTTGCATGTGCAACGAAACTAAATTTTTTGTATGCAAAAATCAATCACAACGAAAAAAATGTCACAGGCCAACCAGACAACAACAACAACAACAGCCATAGCTACAACTACAACAACAACAACCCATATTAACAACAACAACAACACTAAGACAACAACAGCTAACGCTCCAACAACAACAACAATTAAAATTCAACAACAACCATTGTCACCACCAAAGCCGTTGGTGCCACAAAAATTGCCAAAGGTAAAAACCAAAAAAAAAAAGAGAAATTCCACAAAAATTCTAAAAAAAAAAACCAAAAAAACATTGCCAATCAAGAACAAAATCAGCAACAATTATTGCAACTGCAACAACAACAGCTTTTGACAGTCAGTAAACAAAAAAAAAAGAAAAAGAAAACACCACCCACTGTGCACCACTGTGAAAGAACCACCACGAACCACCCAACACCCACCCACCCACTCACTCGTACAGCTACAAATACATTTGAGACGCACACCACCCAATTTTTCCTGTATATTGAAAATGAAAACTTGAACCTGTTCTTTTTTTTCGGTTTTATTTTTCATTTCATCGACCACTCATTGCGTTTTGATTTTGTGTGCTTTTCGTCGTTGCAGCTTTAATTGCTGTCCCAAAATTCGTTGCCCGTAGCCATTGTTTATCTTTAGTTTAGTTTCTGTCTGTAATTTGGTTGCCAATTCGTATTTGTTTTCTCGCTTTGACATATTTTTATACCCGTTACTCGTAGAGTGAAAGGGTATACTGGATTCGTTGACAAGTATGTAACAGGTAGAAGGAAGCGGTTCCGACTCTATAAAATATATATATTCTTGATCAGGATCAATAGCGAAGATGATTAAGTCATGTCCGTCTGTCTGTACGTCTGTCCGTCTGTCCGTCTGTCCGTATGAACACTGAAATCTCAGGAACCATAAGAGATACAAAGTTGAGATTAAGCATGAAGATTCTTGAGTCCATACGCAGCGCAAGTTTATTTACGCATCCTGCCACGCCCACTCTAACGCCCACAAATCGCGGAAAACTTTGGCGTCTTTAGTATTATTACGAATGCCTTCGTCTGACCTTATATAACTTATTTCTGCCAATCTCCATCGATTTTTTAAAGAACTTTCAAATCGGAATTCGATATTTATGAAGAAATTTGGATTATAAGACCTCACATGGCTTGTGACGTCACTATTAGTTACTCAACAAGCTTTATCCGACAATAGGTGGCGCTTTGGGAGTTTCCACTAGCAAAATGAACATTTTAAAACTGTGTAAAATAGTAACGGGTATCTTATAGTCGCGTCACTCGACTATAGCGTTTCCTCTTGTTCTTTTTTTCAGCACCACTATTGGCCAAATCATCATTTCTGTTTCACAAACATGCAATTCAATTTCGTACTTATTTTTTTGGGTGGCCCCAATAGCTTTTATGGCGATTAAATATTTGCATAAGAACATTTACAAATGGTTACTCAATTAACTGTTTTGTTTATTTGCTGTACAAATTTTCCATTTTCCAAACAATTGAAAACCACATAACTACCTTTATTATTGCTTAACTTCAAATCAAACTCTACTTAAGCGTAATTGAAGGCCTCCGGTGACTTAAGCTAAAAGTCAATAATTTACGTAATGATTTATTAATTAATATTATCCAATCGCATTGTGATTGGGTTGGTTTGGGCCAGGCCTTTGAGTTTGATTTGACATTTAAAATGTGTTTTGTTTCATTGATTTCTTGAATTTCTCATTTGGCCCATGAGCTTGCAATTAAGTAGGAGCCATGTTTCATTTTGTAATCTCTACCGACAAATCAAAGCACTTAATGAGCCGCACACAGGGCAGGCACTCGCCCAGCCATCCGCTAAAACCACCTTGTGGCTCCTGAAAGTATGCATCATTGTATATCTCTATATATATATGTGTGTGTGTGTGTGTATATGTGTGCTAGCTTGTGATTTATCCCATTTGTGTTTGTATATGTTAATGTCTGCGTATGTCTTGTGCAATTAGTGATACATAGCTGTAAAACACACACTCTTACACTTAAACTCACTCTCACATACAGCACTTCTTGGCTTTTATCGCTTTTTTGGGGTAAACCCCAAAAGCAGAAAACCCCCCACCTTGCACACCCGTACACCCTAATGAACTACTACACTCGCATTATTTATGCCCCCACCCACACACACACACACGAACGTCTAGTGATTAGCTATCATGTGTGTGTGTGTGAAAGTGCTAAGTGCAATGCTACCTCTCTTTCGCTCTATGGACCTCTCCCCTTTCCCCACGTATCCTCGTACAGCCGAGCAATACCGCCCCGCCCCCCTCTTAATGAATGCGTGCATATATCACAGTTGACAAGATTGGAGAGCCCGGAATGAGGCATTGGTTTTGTGGGTGTAGGGGGGGTATGGCAGAGGAATTGGAATTTTTGGGTGCTCAACCAGGGATTTACGGACACCGCAACACTCGTGAAATCGAGGGCAAACAAAGGCGATTGATTTCGTGTTGATGACAAGCTGATGCCACATACGCAACAGCTGTCCTAGGGTTTGGGTTTTTGGCAGCCCTAAAAGTCCACGACCTCCCCTCAAAAATCTAACCCGAAAAGCCTACATCCCTCCCCCTCTATCCCTTGAACGGACAACAGACGGACACGCACACGGAGACGGACACGCTTATAGCCGACATTTGTGTTGGTGTCTGACAGCTGACATTTGTCAAACGCTTAACAAAATTTGTCATATGCCATACGTGTTTCATTCCACACAATTCCGCATCGTTCCATTTCGGTGCGTTCCATTTCGCTTGCCTAATGTCCTGTCCTCCTGCCTCCTCCTCCTCCTCCTGTCCCAGACAATCTATGGGTTCGAGGGAATCTGGACTACTTTTATGCAAATCACTTGACAAACTGTCGCCGCCATGGACGCCGATGAGTGACAGTTGTTGAATAAACAAGGGGGGTGGGGGCTAAAACCAGATGGTGGTAGGGGGGGCGGGTATGAGAAAACAGGGTCATGGGTTAAGGGGTGATCCCGGTTCGAGTTGATGACAAATGCATGTGTTGACAAAACGGACGGAGAGGGCAGCACTGCTGCTTGGGAATTTTGATTTATAGTCCAATGTGCATAATTAATGTGCAAATGATAGGCATACATCAGAACCCATACAAACACAGTTCACCATCGACGGCAGGCCCACGCGCTAACCCGAAACCGAAAGAGCGAAAGAGAGAGAGAGCGAAACTGCACTGAAAGTTAAATCGTCTTGGATATTAAGAAAATCTCTATAAGAAATATTTTTTAAGAACAAAAATCTACAACAAATTTTTGGAAATATTTCCTAAAAACATTTATTTAATTTCTAAAATGCACTTCACTTTAAATTTAAGTAATATTTATTTCATATTAAAGATTTTCTTATCTTCACGGCCATTACACTTTATTTTGGCGAGTGTAGTAGAGGCAAACCCACGTCCGAAATTGGGGAACCATTTGATTGCTCTTCTACCAAAATCCATGCATATTTTGATTGCCTACTTAATTTCATATCTTTTTTTCCCCACAACAAAAAAAAACAAAAATAAATCACAGAGCGTCGATTCGGACGTGGGCTCCCTGAACATGAATTCCACAGAGAACGAAGTGCCCGAGGTGGAATCCTCCAGCGAGATCCTCATTGATGACCACAAGCCGAGTCACTCGAACGACGAAAGCTGGACGGATGTGAATCTCAACGAGGATGCTGCCGTTCAAGCAGCAAGTGCCGGAATGGTTGTGGGTTTGGTGGATAATGGTGGTAATGTTATAACCGATAAACATGACCCATCCTCCCATCACAACCAACAGCAACAGCAGCAGCAGCAGCAGCAACAGCAGTCGGGGATTATTGGCCAGCAGCAGCAGCATGGATCACTTGGCCATTCGGAACGGGGTGATAAGCCCGATTCGGAGATTTCGGTGGTACGTGTACCCGATGGTTATGGTGGTGCTGGTTCCGGCGTTAATTCCGGACAAGGTCAAGGTGTACCGCCCAATCAGCGTCCGCGACCCGAGGAATTACCCATGAAGGCACCAGCTTTGGTGGCCCAGCTGCCGCTGACTACACCATCGCGGGAGGCGAGCCTGACACAAAAACTGGAAATTGCATTGGGACCGGTGTGTCCATTGCTTCGTGAAATCATGGTTGACTTTGCACCCTTCTTGTCCAAAACTCTAGTCGGTTCCCATGGCCAGGAGCTGCTGATGGAGGGCAAGGGTCTGACGACCTTCAAGAATTCCCATTCCGTGGTGGAGCTGGTTATGTTGCTCTGCTCTCAGGAGTGGCAGAACAGTCTACAGAAACATGCAGGATTGGCCTTCATCGAGTTGATTAACGAAGGTCGACTCCTTTCGCATGCCATGAAGGATCATATTGTCCGAGTGGCCAATGAGGCGGAGTTCATACTGAATAGAATGAGAGCCGATGATGTCCTTAAGCATGCCGACTTTGAATCGCAATGCGCTCAAACCCTTTTAGAGCGAAGGGAGGAGGAGCGAATGTGTGACCATCTAATCACTGCCGCCCGACGCAGGGATAACGTGATCGCCAGTCGCCTGCTCGAGAAGGTGAGAAACATTATGTGCAATCGTCATGGAGCCTGGGGCGATTCTAGTACCAGTGGATCGAGCGGCGGCGCCATTGTGGGAGCAGTGCAAAAGAGTCCCTATTGGAAACTAGATGCCTGGGAGGATGATGCCCGTCGACGCAAGCGGATGGTGCAGAATCCACGCGGTTCTTCACATCCCCAGGCCACTCTGAAGGCGGCTCTGGAAAATGGTGGACCCGAAGATGCCATCCTGCAGACCCGTGATGAGTTCCATACCCAAATTGCTGTGTCGCGAGCCCATCCGTCGGGTCAGCACAATGGAGAACTATTGGACGATGCCGAGCTATTGATAGAGGATCGTGAATTGGATCTAGATCTGACGGGTCCGGTCAATATTAGCACCAAGGCGAGGCTAATTGCACCCGGATTGGTGGCACCTGGTACCGTTTCGATAACCAGCACTGAAATGTTCTTCGAGGTAGATGAAGAGCATCCCGAATTCCAGAAGATCGATGGTGAAGTTCTAAAGTATTGCGATCATTTGCACGGGAAGTGGTACTTCTCGGAGGTTAGGGCCATCTTCTCGAGGCGTTATCTTCTGCAAAATGTCGCATTGGAGATCTTCTTGGCCAGCAGGACGTCCATATTATTTGCCTTCCCCGATCAGCATACGGTCAAGAAGGTAATCAAAGCACTGCCTCGCGTTGGAGTTGGTATAAAGTATGGAATACCACAGACGCGTCGTGCCTCCATGATGTCGCCACGCCAACTGATGCGCAACTCTAATATGACCCAAAAATGGCAGCGCCGCGAGATCAGCAACTTTGAGTATCTAATGTTCCTCAATACGATCGCCGGGAGGACGTACAACGACCTAAATCAGTATCCCATCTTCCCATGGGTACTAACCAATTACGAGTCCAAGGATTTGGATCTTAGCCTGCCATCGAACTATAGGGATCTATCGAAACCGATTGGTGCACTGAATCCATCGCGTCGAGCCTATTTCGAGGAGCGTTACGAGAGCTGGGACAGTGATACCATACCGCCCTTCCACTATGGCACCCATTATTCCACGGCGGCCTTTACACTCAATTGGTTGGTGCGTGTGGAACCGTTTACCACCATGTTCCTGGCCCTCCAAGGTGGCAAATTTGATTATCCGGATCGATTATTCAGTTCCGTATCGCTGTCATGGAAGAATTGTCAACGTGACACATCGGATGTTAAGGAACTGATACCCGAATGGTATTTCCTACCGGAAATGTTCTACAATTCATCGGGCTATCGTCTGGGTCATCGTGAGGATGGAGCATTGGTCGATGATATCGAACTACCGCCATGGGCCAAGAGTCCCGAAGAGTTTGTACGCATCAATCGCATGGCACTCGAATCGGAATTCGTATCCTGCCAACTGCATCAGTGGATCGATTTGATTTTTGGCTATAAGCAACGCGGTCCCGAGGCCATTAGAGCCACCAATGTGTTCTACTACCTAACGTACGAGGGTAGCGTCGATTTGGATGGTGTCCTGGATCCCGTAATGCGTGAAGCGGTCGAGAATCAAATTCGTAACTTTGGCCAAACGCCAAGTCAGCTATTGATGGAACCACATCCGCCGCGTAGCTCGGCCATGCATCTATCGCCGATGATGTTCAGTGCAATGCCCGAGGATCTGTGCCAGATGCTCAAGTTCTATCAGAACTCACCGGTCATTCACATTTCGGCCAACACGTATCCACAATTATCGTTGCCATCGGTAGTTACGGTCACGGCTGGTCATCAATTTGCGGTTAATCGATGGAATTGCAATTATACCGCATCCGTCCAAAGTCCCAGCTACGCTGAATCGCCACAATCGCCGGGTTCCAATCAACCACTTACCATAGATCCAGTTCTGGGTGAGTTTTATTCGAGATGCAGGTTTTATTTGGGTGTATTTAATTTAAATTTTGTATTTTTAGCTGTCCATGGTACCAATAATAATAGCAATGCGGTTAGCCGACGACATTTGGGCGATAATTTCAGCCAAATGCTGAAGATTCGATCGAACTGCTTTGTCACCACGGTGGACAGTCGGTTCCTAATCGCCTGTGGATTCTGGGATAACAGTTTCCGGGTTTTCGCCACTGAAACAGGTAAGTTAAATGCTGAAAAAGAGTATTCATTAGTAGGTTATCTATAGATATTAGATATTAGATATTAAGATACTCACCAAACTATTTCCCTTTCTTGCCATTCCAGCGAAAATCGTACAGATTGTGTTCGGCCACTTTGGAGTGGTGACATGCATGGCCCGTTCCGAGTGCAACATTACCTCGGATTGCTACATTGCATCCGGATCGGCGGACTGTACGGTGCTCCTGTGGCACTGGAATGCCCGCACCCAGAGCATTGTGGGCGAGGGCGATGTGCCAACGCCTCGAGCCACCTTGACGGGTCACGAACAGGCGGTGACATCGGTGGTGATTAGTGCTGAATTGGGTCTGGTGGTCTCTGGATCATCAAGTGAGTATCCTTTCCCTTATCTGCAAAAAGAAAGGTAAGTCATTTATTAATATATATTTGCTTGGTTAATCTCTTTCCAGATGGACCCGTTCTCATTCACACCACATTCGGTGACCTATTGCGCTCGCTGGATCCACCGGCTGAGTTCCACTCCCCGGAACTGATAACCATGTCCCGCGAGGGCTTCATTGTCATCAATTACGACAAGGGCAATGTGGCCGCCTACACCATCAATGGCAAGAAACTGCGCCACGAGACGCACAACGACAATCTTCAGGTGGGTTTATCAAGAAACATTACTTGTTTTTAAGCTTTTAGTTTTAAATATTATTTCTTGATTATATTTTTATGGATATTCTTTCCTACTTTTTTCAAATTTCAGTGCATGCTGCTGTCGCGCGATGGTGAATACCTGATGACCGCCGGTGATCGCGGCATCGTGGAGGTGTGGCGCACCTTCAACCTAGCACCACTTTATGCCTTCCCCGCCTGCAACGCGGGCATCCGATCTTTGGCCCTCACCCATGATCAGAAGTAAGTCAAATACCAAATATAGTAAAAAGTAACCTAAACAGCCACAGCTGCTAGTTAACTTCCTAATCAAATTTTAAAATCTGATTCTAACCAAGTTAACCCTCAACTCTCTTCTACCCTTTCTCTTTTCTACTCTTCTTCCTGTGTCAACTTCATAGATACCTTCTGGCTGGACTCTCAACGGGGTCAATCATAGTATTCCACATCGATTTCAACCGCTGGCACCACGAGTACCAGCAGCGCTATTAAGCTTTGGACGCATTCCAATAACCCACGAATTGCCAGTTAACAGAGGCCAAGGATACGGAGACGAAAACGAAAGCGAAAACTAAAAAGTAAAACTAAAAACGGAAACGGAAATGAAGAAAACAAATATGAAAACGATCGGAAAAAAGCAAACTACGAAGTACTTAAACAAAGAAAAACGTCGGCAAAAGGAGGAGGAGAGGATCGGTTTTTTTCTATATAGACCTTTACAACTCTAGGCTAGTAAGCGAAACTATGTTTTTTTTTTGTCTAGTATTAATTGTGCATTAGTGTGTGTTTTTGGCCAATAAAAGCCAGTCAAAATGATAAAGAAAAAAAAAAAATTTAACAAAACAAAAAAAAAAGAGAACGGAACAGAACAGAAGATGAAAAAATTTTTTTTTACTAGTATTAACGAAATGTATGTTAAGTTATGGCAAAATGGAGAAGGGCAAAAGGCAAAAGCCAAAAGCAAAAGGCAAAAAGCTAAAGGCAAAAGCAAGAAGAAAGCGATGAAAGGAAAGGAAGAGAAAGCTGGCGGCTTAAGTAAGTAGTTGAAATAAGACAAATGAAGTTAGTGTTTATAAAACGCAATAAGCAGTTAATAAATCTAAAAGTAAAACCTAAAGCTAATTCCACATGCATTATAATACCAACGTAGCAAAAGTTCTCATAAAAATTTAAAAAAAAAACAAATGAAAAAAGGAATATAAAGACGAAGAAGAAGAAAACGCTGCGCAACGCAAAAATAAGAAGGGAGTAAAATGAAATGAAACTAAAGCGGCCAAAAAAGTGAGAGAATGGTAGAGAAAAAGCAGAAAGCCAATTTTTAATTATAGCATTAGTTCTTTGTGACAAAAACACACACGCCCCAACCACACCCCGTACACACACTCACACTCAGCCACACACACACACACTCTACAAAGGTAACCAAGCAAGGACAATGCCAAGGCAATAAAGCTGATAAATAGTAAAGAAAGGGGAAAAGAGTGAAAGAGGGAATTCTGAAGATGAGCGCACTGCAGGAAACGGAAGTAAAGCGGAGAGCGGATACGAAATATTTTAGTACACACACACACACACACACACACGCAGTCACGCGCATATGTATTTGTAGCTAAACTAACACTCAACTTAACTCCAAAACAAAACGAAACGAAACGCTAACTAAAATCTAAACAACAACTAAATTATCAACACTGCTAAGAGCCACAGAAATAAATAAATAAATAATATAAAAAAAAAAAAAAAAAAAAGTATCTTTATATATATATATATATATTAAATATATATACATACATATATCCGTCGACGGAAGCGGAATATGCAAAACTTATCCAAGCGAAAGGCGACGATTTCGTGTGTTTTTCGTTCTCGTTCCACAAATATCACGCATACGCCACGCTGCACCGCCCGCTAATTTCGAAACGAGAGCGAAAACAGAAAACAAATAAAAACAATCGATAAAAAAAATATATAGTCTATACATACATTGTTTTTTTGTTTTTTTCTAATGTGTATTCTCTTCAATTGTTTGTTCTTTGTATGTTTTTTTTTTCTTAGCTATATTTGTTAGGTAAAAGTGAGAAAATTTTCAATTGCGTCCAAAATTAGCCTACTACTATACCCTCCTCACCCCAAAACAACAAGAACTCCCCGCCCTTAAAAAATTGGCTTCCTCGAAACAAAAACAAAAAAAAAACCAATCAATGTACGTCCAGGAAATGGTGATGATGTTTTTATATATAATTATTGACCGCAGATTCTGCCTTTTGATTTTCCCAAGCGATTCGCAAACCAAAAAAAATGAGACGACGAAAAAAAAAACCATACAATCCATCCATGGCGCACCACTCTGGCACTTACCGATTAGATTTGTATATAAAACAAAGAAAAACGAGAAAAACGAGAGCTAAGGCAATTACTATAACCATACTTCAAGTATATATATAGAGTTTATGGCTAAAAAGCGAAAAGCAAACACATTCATTCGGTTGTAAAAGCGCAAAAAGCGATACAAATTGAATCAAGTCCAGCTGAAAGAAAAGAAACCTCCCTCCCCACCCCCTACAAAACTATGAAATTGGAAACCATTTACGATTTACACCTCCTGAATATGTAAATGTATATGTATGTATATGTTGTGTGCTCTCTAGAGCTGGAAAATGCTTTACGTTTTGCGTGAATAACAAAAACATTAAAAACCAGCTCTAATGTTGTGTCTTGTCCGATTTGATCTTGTTGAGATCGAAGTAAGAGTAACCTTTATTCATATATCTTATCCTTATCCCGTGTGCTTCTTTCTTCTTTTGTAAAATTTAAGCATAAATCCAACATTTATTCGCTTTTTTTTTCACTCTCTCTCTCTCGTTACACATACATATTTTCCACTCTCTGTGTGTACATATTTAAGAAGAATTATGCAAATAGCATAGAACAATGACATGGAATGAAAAACGAAATGAAAATAACGAGAAGAGTATCCAGGCAGATGCAGAAATTAAATAAACATTTTATAATAATCCATGCAAAAGGCAAATATTTAAATTTTCTTTCTTCATTTTTGTTGTTGTTGTTTCGTTTGTTTTTTTGTTTGTGTCCACGGAGGAGAGTTAATTAAAAAGCAAAGGTGACGAAACGAAAATTTACAACTATTAGTAATTTAAATGTTGTACATAAAAAAAATCCACGAATAAACTGTCCTAAAGAGTAAAGTATTTTTAAAGCCCAACCGGAAACTAAGCATTCGAACGGAAAACGAAGGAGGAAGAAGAAGTAAAGGAATTCAAATCAAATCAAATTAAAGGAAAAGCGCAATGAAGCGAAAGGCGGAAAGCGAAAAACTTGAACTCGAGGCGGCGGTAAAGCTATCGGGAGCACTCTCGGAGCAGTAACTAAAATATTTTTTTTTTTCTGCGGTACACACACAGGCCTGTGTGTGTGTGTGTAGCTATATATATATATATGATGAATATGGAATAAAAAACAAAAAACCAAAAGTTTAGCTATTAAAATGAAAAGAAAGGATGCCGAAAAACTTGAATATTAACTGCGGACGCCAACAATTTTTAATTACGCACTTTTTATAGAACTTAGCGAGGACGAGAAAACGAAACAAAAAGAAAAAGCGTTGAGGAAAGAAGATGGTAGTCGTATTTAATAATAACATAAATATAAATAAATTACATAATGTTTTTATTAACGAAAACAAAACAAAACAACAACAAATGGCTGACAATTTTAAATTTATACAAAAAAAAAAAAAAAACGGAAAACACAAAAAGTCAAGTTATAAATAAAGAAAAAAATACAAAAAAAAATATATAAATAAATAAATAAATAAATTAAAAAAAAAGAAAGAAAAAATATTTAAGAATTTACTCATGCACGGGCAAGAATAATTTAATATAATTATTTACACAGGCGAAAAAGAAAAAGAAGGCATTTTAAAATTTAGTAAATAAAACGGAAAATCGAAAAATCGCAGGCAAAGTTAAAGCTAAAGACAGGCGGCAGGCACACATACACGATAAACGACACACACACATACGTACACACAATCGAAATCGAAATATATATATATAGATATACATGTGTATATATATTTTGTCAACATTGTTAAATAGCAGACTAACAAACAAAAGAGAGCCAAAAACGACAATTTAATCTATTCAGCAGCAGCCGCAGCAGCAGCAGCAACAAAACAAAAGCAAAAGCAAAAAGAGACAGCAAAATACGAAAAACATAAAAACTAAAATACAAAAAATACAAAAATACAAATTACTAATAACAAATTACAAAATGCAAAATACAAATTACAAAATACAGAAAGAGAAAGATAAAAGCTACGAGAAATAAATGTTCATTAATATTGCTAAACAAAAACCAATTATATATATATATATAGATATATATATATATGAATAAAAAGAGGATATTTTTTTTTTTTTGCAAAATGTGCATGCAAGCGAAAATTTAAACACATTAAATAATGAATAAAATAATAAAACAAAAGGCGCGGGGGAAAAGAAAGATAAAGCGAGAGGCGATGAAGCGGCACAGAACGTAGAGAGAGGTTAGCTAGAGCGGGGGCGAAGGGCAAACAATTTATGCATATTAAAATTAAATTTAAAATACGCTACAATTCTAACAAAATAAGTTTACACACACACATACACCACATTCCAAAAACAAAACCCCTTAAAAAATAAAAACAATATAATAATTAAACAGCAAACAGAAAACAGCAAAAGAGATTCAATTGCATGGAAGAGTAAAAGTAATTAAAGGTCGAGCGTTGGTAAAGCGTTGAAGGAAAATTTCAAATTAAATTTAAGCTACAAATTTAACAAGCGAAAGTGAGCAAGCATTAAAAGTAACAACAACAACAACAACAACAACAAAAACAAAACCGAAACAAAAACAAAAAAAAAAATTATTATGTTCAATAAAGAAAAACGAAAACGAAAAATGCAAAGGAAAAACAAAAGAGTAAAAAATACAAAATAAAACCAAACAAAAACAATGAAATCTTACAAAAAAAAAAAAAAAAAAAAACAAGAAATTTGTTTTCTATTTTCGTTGGTTTGTTGGTGGAAAAGCGTTGTGGAAAAGTCAATTCATCTTGGCCGAAAATCCTTTTTTTCAGCTGTGACCTGGTTTTGCCATTTCTGCTGGCTTGCAATAATTTCATTTTCCCAACAATTGAACAGCCAGAAAGGAAAATCCCAGTCAGAGAGTGTTGCCAAGGAAGGGATGGGGAAGGGGAAATAGCAAAATGGGAAAAACGAGACAACAATTCCGTGGGCTAAGCAATTAAAGCGCCTCGTTCGCGTTCCTTAGCTCCTTTTTTCTCTGTTTTTTTCTTTTCGCTGCTGTTGTTGCTATTGCTGGCTGTTGCTGCAGCACGCTCCAATTGCGTTTCCAGTTGCAATTGCAGGGAAAGCCAGGGAAGAGAGAGAGTCCCGGTTCAAAGCGGGAAAAGTGTTCACAGATAAAGGAAAACCAGCAGAAACCCAAAAAGCAGAAGAAGCAACAAAAAGGTGAGTGCCAGTCGACGCTGGGGATAACTTTGGGGGTGGAGCAGCTGTCTAAACACGAAAAATGCATCAAATTGCAAGACCAGCAGCAGGAGGAGCAGCGTTGTCATCAAAAGTCATATCTCTTTCATATTATTCCACCCCCCTACTGCCCGCTCCTGTAACTTTTCCTTCTTCCTGCCCCTTCTACTGTGAGTTTTCTGGAGCGTGTAATATCCGTTTCCTGCATTTCCGGTTGCAGGCAACAACAACAATAACAACAACAACAATAACTACAACAAGAGGACACAGGACGAAGTAGCAACGGGAGTTGCCTGAAAATTGCTAGCGGAAATGCTGCAAAATTAACGAGCAACGCGGTTAGGGGAGGGCAACACAGCCAGCCAGCCATCCAGAAGGTATCCTTGGTAGCCAAGCAGTGGCAAGCATCCAGGTGGCAGTCAACAGGCAGACGCCTCCATTTACTATTTGCCACACGACTAAAAACCAGGACTAAAACCAAGACCAAGCCAAAGTAAATGCAAACAATTTTTCACCCACCACTACCACCACTGAATCTTTCTGCTTTTTTCCATATACCCTTTTTTTATACTCGGCTAAAACCCAAGGGTTATCATAATTTCAAATGGGAATTGGGATTACGAGATTAAAAACAGGGACTCTACCTTAAGCAAGATCTGGAAAATGCAGTTAAAAATATCTAAGAAATTATCTACCTTAATTGAATCCCCCATTAAGGAAAGTTAAATGATGATAATTCTTAACCCATAAAGAGTATTTGATTTTTAGTATTTTCCCCAGCAGCTTGTCATCATCCTGTTTTACCCAACACCCAACACCCCACCCCAACCACTCTCCTGGGTTCTTGTCACTTTCTTTGCTCGCTTCACAAAATGCAAATTTTTCTAACCGGCAAAAAGGAATGGCAGAAGCTAAGGAAAGGGGGGGGGGATGCATGCCTAGGAGAAGGTAGAGCCCGCCCGTCCAGCATCGGCAGCAGCTGCAAATTAGACGCATCGCTTAACCAGCAATGACATAAAGCAGCCAAGTGGCAGCAACAGCGCTAACAACGTCCTGGAGTCATCATCGCCATCATCATCTCATCTCTTTCGTCCTCTGCATCTGCGTTTTAAATCAACACACACACACAGAGAGAGAGGGGAAAAGCAAGCTAGAGGAAAAGCAACCTAGAGGAAAAGCAAACTGAATTTGGACTC